TTCCCTCCTTTCATGGAATCAGCTTTGCAAACACAGCCACAACATCTCACAACCCCGCTCCTGGCTCTTGGTCACCCTCAGCCTCGTGTCTCCTTCAGCCAAACCCTCCATTTCCAAGGAGCTGTGGCTGTAACAAAACAGCTCGGGGTGACTCGGGGTCAGCACCGCTGGTTTTGTGACAGGTTTCCTGTGCCTGCAGGATCCTGGTGTGTTGTGTCTCCCTCGATTCCTGCACCTCCACCCTGTGTTTGATGGGCACGTGGGGCCAGATCCACGGTGGTATGAACGTGCAGATCTCAGCTTGTTGTTGAGAACTAACTCACCTTTTTCATTTCCTTTGACCCAGGGGGCTGCTTTTTGCAGTGAAAACGAAACAATAATTTAAGGGCAGAGGAAATTTTAATATCCCTCCTCCCAAAGTAGCACTTGAGAAGAGTTAAGATCTTTTAGCCTGAAGGGCTTGGATAAATGGAGTAGGAGGTTTTTTTATCACCATCATAATTTATTATTTAATTTTCCCTCCTCAGGAAAAAGTGGAAGACTTTTCTTGCAGCCTGGTTTTATCCCTTTCTGGTGCCATTCATAAATATTTCATTAAGAGCTCCATGGGCAGCAAGTTTATTCTTGGCATGAACATCCACTGCCTGGAGGGTGGACTCCTCTGAAACATTTATGGGATCCCATAAATGCAACAGGATCCCATAAATCTGAACAAAAAGGAGGAAAAACAATTCTTAGGAAGCACAGCAGGGGATCACCTTGTTTGTTTACCCCACAAGCGCAGCGTGCTTCGTGTTTGCTCTCCAAGAAATCTGAATTATTCCCTCAAAAGAGCTGTTAGGGTGGGAAAACAGCTTTGTAGGGATAAGGAAAAAATGAATTGGAAGCCCCAAAGGATGGATGGATCTTAGGAGCCTGACAGGGGGATTTGTGTGAGCCACGAAGCTTCTGTGTTGGGTTTTACTGGGAGCCCTTGTGCTGCCACTGGTACCAGTTACCAGCTGCATCACGGCCCAGTTGAACACCAGGGACGGAGACAGGTCTTCCAGGAGTCCCAACATCCTGGGAAGTCCTGTAGGATGGCTCATGGGTAGCACCAGGACCTGAAAGCCTTCCCACAGCCGACAAGCCCAGCAGCCAATGTTTTCCGTGGGGGAGGGCTGGGCACGTGCCAGTGGCACGGGATGTATCCACTGACTTATCTTTTTTACATAAAATTCATTGAATTTTTAATAAAATTCAGCCTCTCTGAGCAACCATCAGCCCAAGGTGAGAAGTTTATGAATTCCTCGTGGGTGGGGGAATGAGGGACCTCTCCAGGTGCACATCTCGGGGCGAACCACAGCTATTTTTGGCCCCCGTGTATCCACATTGTTTTCTCCATGGATTGACTAAAAATAAACAGGTATCCAGGGAAGAGGGTGTGAAGGCAGCTGTTCCCACGGGCAGGTGCCAATGTTGAGGTGCCCAAGCCGAAAACACAGCAAGAAACAGCCCCACCAGGTCATGGGAGCAGAGATTTAACCCAGATTTGGTGGTTAACATTGGACAAGGTCTAGGTCAGGAGGACCCACCAAGGAACACACCATCCCTGGCTTTCCCCCTTTTCCAAATCACTCTGCTTCCCTCTTCTTTTCTTTGGGAATTGTTGTGGATTTCATTCAGCTTTTGCAGCCCTGAAAACACGGAACAATAGTGGGACGGGGAAGCTCAGGAAGCTGGGGAGCAGGAACAATGGTTGGTGTTGTGTCCTTTCCCCTTCCACATCCCTCCTTCTCCAGGAAGCCTGAACTCTCTGTTGGGTGTTTTCCAGGCTGTTGATCCGCTTTTGCATCCCAAGGGAAACCCAAGGCTGCAGGTCACAGCCTGGTGAGATGCACCAGTGGTGTGAAATGTCTTCCCTTGTTGGCTGAAAGAGTCTTGGAGGTAAAAAATGGCACAAAATCCCGTCCTGGAGAGATCCCTTTTCCCTCTCTGATCCCACCATAGCCCTGCTGGGGCTTTGGAGCTCTGCACACCCCTGGGCAGGCACATGGATGCCCCTGTGATGGATCTATGGCCAGCAGGGATTTGGATGCAGGTCAAGGAGGGGATGGAAGGAGCCAACACAGCACCCAAATGTCAAGGATGGGGCTGTTGCAGGGAAAGGAGGCGCTGTCAGGACATGTATCCTTCCTTCCATGAGTGTTGGATGTGGAGGGAGCACGGGAAAGCCTTTTGGAGGCTGGTGATCCATGGACTGGGATGGAGACAACCAGCAGGAGACTGTCCCACCCAGCACACGACAAGAGAGGCAGGAGGGATGTGTTTTAGGAGCCTTCTGGAGGGAAGCCAAGGGTTTTTAGGGATGTGTTTTAGGAGCCTTCTGGAGGGAAGCCAAAGGTTTTTAGCAGTGCTGAATCCCAAAGGTGTCCTCTTTTCCCCTCAGAGCTTCAGCTCTCACTGCTGATGTTGCCTTAGCAACCTCAAAGTGTGTCCAGGGGCTCCAAAAATAGGGAGAGGCTGGGATTGAGATGGTGCCAACTCCCTGCCAGCTCAGGGATGGGGCCGGATGGTGTGACCTGTGCCACAGGGACATCTGTACATAGATCCCATCCAAACTTTATCCAACTAAAACACTTCCCAAGTGGCCACGGGGCAGCTGGGGCATGGCCCAGCGTATTTATCTTGTCTTTGCTTTGTGAGCAAAGCCCAGTTTGGTTTTTTTGGGGGACAAAAAGGAAGAGCACTTTGGAATGTGTTCCCACCCGGTTCAAGGCGAGGTGGGTGTGAGAGCCCTCGAGCCCTCCTCGTGTGCTCCCCTTTCCTTTGGGAAGGAAAAAGGAGTTTGCTCTGAGCAGGCCCTGCCCCAGAGCTGCAGATTCGGGGCTTTATGCTGCTCTTGGTGTAATTAAAACAAGATGCAGACAAGGGGTCTTATCCTGCTCTCCTCCAGGGATGAGGAACCAGGGTGATTAACAGGGATGGGCACGAGGGAGGGAGCTCCTCACAGATTAACACTGGGGGAGGGGGATTAACTTTCTGGGGGGGAAAAGACCACACGGGGGATGAGAGTCTCCACAGCAAATTTGGTTTTCCTCAGTGTTCACTCAACCCCTTCATTCCATGGGGCAGCTTTCCCTTCCCCTGGGGCTTGAAGATGAGGTTGCAGGAGGAGCAGGATGTGTTCCCTGTCACTGGGGGTTGTGTGATTAAAGGGTTCCAAGCCATGTGTCCCTCACAGTTCGTTAAATCCTGGCTCCAGATCCTTCCCTGCATGGTATAGATCTCAGTCATTTAATTACAGATCCTTGGAGGTTTTGTGTGTGGGACCAAAAATCCCATTCCCTGGAAGCTGGGGGTGCTGACTCAGTTTTTTGGCAACGGTGCAACACACAGGCACAGAGGGGATGGTGGGAAAATGCAATAACAGTAAAATGGGAAAGACTGGGAAGACTGGGAATGGGGTGTCAAAGCTCAGAGCTTGTGGCAAGGCTGGAATCTCCGAGATGGGCAGGACAGGGCAGGACAGAGGAGGCAAAACACCCCAAATTTGTGGTGTAAAATGAATAATCCGTGTGATGGTGGTGCTGGTACCAGGACATGGCCAGCACAGATGGGGGCTGGATGGAAAGGGAGGTTGGTTTTGGGGGGGTAACAAGAGAGGGACCATGGGAGACAGTGGGGTGCTGGGGACTCACCCCATCCCTGGAAGTGTCCAAGGCCAGGTTGGACAGGGCTTGGAGCAACCTGGGCTAGTGGAAGGTGTCCCTGCCCATGGCAGGAGGGCGGAATAAGATGATTTTTAAGGTCTCTTCCAGCCCAAACCATTCTGGGATTCTCTGGTGAAAGAGGTGCCCAGATGGGGCTGTGACAGTTTTGGGGCAAGTGGGGTGGAAAAGGGTAAATGGGGAGGGGTGACAGGGGGGTGCAATGCTGGGGGGACGTGGGGGGCTGGGGTATGTTCATGTGCTGCAGGGTTTTTTGGGGGGCAGTGTTTCGTGGAGGTCAGGGCACATCATCCCGGGGAGCTCCGGGTGGGTCTGTGGGGGTGTGTTACATGCTGCTCCAGGGTCTTTGGGATGCTCCAGGAGCTTTGGGGTGCTCCCGGGGCTTTGGAGTGCTCCAGGAGCCTTGAGATGCTCCAGGGGCTTTGGGGTTCTCCAGGGGGGGAGGTCGGTGTCACACGGCCTCGTGGGGCTCCGGGGGATTCAGGACACCCCATCCCTCGGGGTTCCAGACCGGGATCCAGGACACCCCATCCCTCGGGGCTCCGTGGGGTTCCCTCCGTGGGACCTCGAGGGGTCCATGTCACACCACCCCAGGGGCAAGTGGGGAGCTCCGGGAGGGTCCGTGTCCCGCTGGTCTTTGGGGCTCCGGGGGGATTCGAGGGGCTCCGTGTCCACTCGCTCCTGGGGGCTCTGGGGGGGTCTCTGTATCTCCCCATTCCGGGAGGTTCCAGGGAGTTCCAGGGGGCTCCGTGTCATCCCTCCCCGGGGGTCTCCTTGTTCCCCCTTCCCGGTGGCTCCGGGGGTCTCCGTGCCACCCCTTCCCTGAGTTTTCCAGGGGGTTCCGGGGGTCTCCTTGTCCCCCCTTCCCGGAGCGCTCCGGGGGTCTCCGTGTTACCCCGCTCCTCGGGGCTCTGTGTCACCCCTTCCCCGGGGCTTCCAGGGGCTCCGGGGTCCTCCCTGTCCCCCTTTCCCGGGGTTTTTTGGGGTCTCCTTATCCCCATTCCCGGCGGCTCCGGGGGCTCGGACGAGCCCACGCCCCATCGCGGGGGGGGACGACAGCGGTGGGAGCTGGACGCGCCCATGAGCGGGCG